CAGTTGAGATTGGGTCACGCTTCCACGAACAGACGACCCGAATTGAATGAAGATGAGTATTTAAACTCCTCTTCCACTGAAACCCCAACCCTAGCCGCAACCAGCTCGTTAGAGAAGAAGAAGAAAAAGGGAAACTAGAAGAGAAGCCGGTTATCGTCACTGTTGCACCGGAGTCGTCGTCGATGCTGGAAGGTGAGTTTTTTTTTCCTTTCTATTCGTATTTTGATTTTAAACCACCACAAACCCATATTGGCACCAAAAAATAAAAGGGGAACCTGAAAACAGAAGGCGGAGCTTGGCCGAGCCGCCACACCTGAGACCCAAAACTCCTTCCGTGAGCCCAAATCCCCTTTTCATTTCTTTCCATTTTTGACCATTGGATTCCTGACTCTTTTCTGGTGCAGGACGATCGAAGAAAACCTCCGACTACAAGGGAGGAACGACGGAGTCATCGCACTGAAAAACCCACCTGCTGGTAAGTTTCGATTTTTTTCCTTCTTTCCGCCAATGGAGGCCACCTAACCTCGAGTTTTCCAGGTTCTCGCACAAGACCGTTCGAAAACCAGCCAAACCGAGAAAAGACATCGTCGTAGGCAACAGAGCCACCGTGCCGGAACCTAAATTTGCCCGAAAAATTTTAAAACCCTTTTTGGCATTTTTTGGGTATTTCGAGTTATGTGACGCGTATTTTTAGTTTTTGCAGAAAAATTCAAAAAATCCAAAAATCGCCAGAAAATGCAATGAAAAAAGTGGTATTTCAAACACCGATCCAGGATAAAAATCTCTGATCATTTCTCCCGTTATGATTAATTAAAGTTAAATAAATAATAAACGGTAGAATTTGTGAATATTGGCAACCCATAACTAATTAAATACAGGTCACCAATGGAACCAGTAAACAGTCAGTATGTAATTGCTTATTTTATATGTATTGTTCGTTTATTGCTAGGCTGTTATTATTTACTTACTGCATGTATTTTAATTTATTTGTTTAATTGCCTTATTGTTTATTGGTTTACTTAACTGTTTTATCTTTATCAGTTGATTGGTTTGAAATAAATATCTTGATTACGCGCTTTTTAATTATTAAGTATTAAATTGTATCGTCTACTAATTTATCGTTCTATTTTTATGTGATTATGAAATGAGATTGTTGTATGTAACTGGTGGCTAGTTGATGATGTGAACATGTATGTATTAAATTATCGTATCAAACTAAAAGGTTTATTGAGTGTCATGGGAAAGGGTGTACGGATCGGGTACATAGGGTAAACCCTACTGTAGGCATTACTCTCAGTCAAACGGGCTGAGAAGTCCTATACCGGAAGTGTAACACTCGGACCCAGAAATTTGACTCGGGATAATTTAATATTAATGAAAAAATATATTTAAAATAATTTAATTTTAATTTTTATGAAATTTTGTTGAAAATTAGATTTTGGATGCATTTGAGAATATTTTCGAAAATCAGGGCCAAAGTAGAAATAAGGTAGGACTTATTTGAAAAGAAATATGAAAAACTGGGGTAAAAATATAATTTTCAAAAATACGACAATGTGGGATGGCCACGTCAGCATCATGATAAGTTAGAAAGCGTCGCGTGGGGGCACATTGACACCGTTTCCACGCGGGAGCCACGCAGGCGATCCGTGCGTCTAGGCGATCCAACGACTCAAATCGCATCTCGCATGCATGAACGACCTACATCCATTTTTTTAAACGTGATCGAACAATTGGATTTAATCGCGATGAACGATCCAGATTTGCTCACATATCGGCCTAAACAAGCATCAAATCGAACGGTCCTCCTCACTCCACATCGATGAGAATGAACGATAAGGATCAGAGAAAGAGAGATTTACCTCTCTTTAATCGGCACCAAAACCCTAGCTGACAACTCTGACCAGAGAAGAAGAATAAGGATGGCTGGAGGAAAGATCAGTCGCCGGAGGGACACCGCCGCATCGGAGCCACTGCCGACGTCGAAAAAGGTAAAAAAAATTTTCTTCCACTCGAAATTGAATTCCAAACCTCACCACACCTATATCAGAGCAAAAAGGGCAGCGGGTGAGCCAAAAAATGCGAGTGGAGCTCGACTAAGCCATCGCAACAGGAACAGAAAAACCTCTTTGATGACCCCCTTCCTGTTTCCCATTCCCCTCGGTTCTCTAGCCATTATGATTCTCATTTTTTTGTGTGCAAGTTAACCAAAGAAACACCCTGACTGCAAAGGAGGAACGATGAAGCCCGCACACCCGAAGAACCTTCAGCTGGTAGGGTCTCGATTTTTCCCTTTTTCAGCCGACAGAGGTCCTTTAATTTTGTTTCTTTCTAGTGCGTGTTAGCCAAAGAAACACCCCAACCACAAAGGAGGAATGGCGGAGCCGCCGCACTCGAAGATCCTTCTGCTTGTAGGGTGGTCTCAGTTTTCCCATTTTTCAGTCGACAAAGGCCCCTTATTTTGTTTTTCCCAGCTTTTATACAAATCGGCCTAAACAGTCAAAACAGCTAGACCAGAGGAACCATCGCCGTGGGTGGCAGAGCCAGCATCGGAACACGGCGGCACCGCCGTGCTGGAACGTGAAATTGGTTGAAAAAGTTCAAAAACAATTATTTTGGTCTTTTTAGGGGGTATTTTTGGATCCGTGACTGTATTTTTTATTTTTGCAAGAAAAATCCAAGAAACCTGAGAATCGTCAGGAGAAACAGTGAAAAATACGGTGTTTCGACACTGATTCGAGTTAAGAATCTCTCACCATTCTCTCTGTTATGGTAAATTGAAGTTTAATAATAAATAACATTGTGTTTTGTAAAAATTAGAAAATTCTAAAATTAATTATAGGTCACTAGTGGAGTTGGTAACTGGTCTATACAAAATTACCTATTTTGTCGATACTGTTTATCTATTGGTACGATATATTTTTTGTTTTGTCGTGTGCACTTTTATTTATGGATTTATTGCCCTCTTGATATTGATTGCCTAATTATTTCTCTTATTTGCCTATTGATTGAAATAAATATTCTAATCGTGTTTTTTTTTATTTACGTATTATTTATTTGCATGACTTACTATTGATTGGTAAAAAAAATGAGATGTGGGTATGTGATTTATGATTGGTTGATGATATAGATTTATGTATGAAAGGCTTATAGGGTACCTTGGGGAAGGGTGTACGGACCCGATAGATAGAAAAAATCCTACTGTGAATATTAGCTCAGTCGAACGGGGCTGAGAAGTCTCATACCGGAAGGGGTTGGGAGGTATAGCTCACCCTCATACCAGACAGAGTATTGAGGCGGTGGTATGTTTGGCGCCCATTATCGGATAAGGTATAGGGACGACCAGTTAATCGAAAAATTAAATATTGGGTTCACGCGTAGGGGGATATCCCTATGGACCCCCAGAGGTATTGGTAAGCAGGTAAGTTTATTGTTATTGCTCATTTGAATATGTAATCAAAATACTATTTAGATTATTATCTTCATAGGTCAGTTTTGAAAACTCATAAGAATAATTATTAAATACCACTTTTTAAGTCAAATGAATTTATTGAAAAAGAAACAAGGGCTCCATTGGTTGTTTGACGATTTTTTTACCAACATTTAATTTTTCATATCCGTGTTGAGTTTGATATTCTTACTGGGTTAGTGTAGCTTATTCTCCTTATTTAACCATATTAGATCAGAAGCACAAAAATCTAAATCCCGAACAGTATGAGAGTTACGAATAAAAGTTACCTCCCGAACCCTATCAGAGTTGTCTAGCAGAGGTTAATCCTATATAATTTTATTTTGTCTTATTTTAATTATTTATTTCGTTATTTTGAGCTTCTATAAAGGGACATTCCTGTAACCCTATTGGGTATCTTGATTTATTATGTGAGAAATATAAACCTTAAATTCTAAATTACTTTTGCTTATGGTTGATATAATTCGCTATCTCCATTTTTCTAATTTTGGGCCTTTACATGAAGGGGTTGGGAAGTGTTTGTTCATGCTTATATTGGATGGAGTATTGAAGCGATGGTACGTTTGTTGCCCGTTACCGGACGAGGTATGGGACGACTGATTGATTAATAGATTGGATATTAGGTCTACGTATAGTGGGGGTCTGTATGGACCCCAGCAGTACCGATAAGTAGGTAAAAAGGTAAAGCTTGATTATTGTTGGTTTTTTAGAGTGTTTTATGCATTGTTATCTTGATTCTTCCTTCATAAGTAGCATCTAAGAACTCAAAAGGTGAGTATGAGATTAATATTTT